GTGCCAAGTGTACTTGCATTTATTTGCATATGTAAAGTAGAGCATCAAGGGAGGCATCTCGTAGTCCTTGGTGTCCTCAGCTCCCCATCATCAGGAAGTATAAAGAAAAGTACAGTCTGATACAGCCTTGTGTGTTTGTGCTGTTTTCATCAGGCACAAAGGGTAGAAGTCAAACTGTGCCTGTGATTTAAGTGACCTTTGCTGTAACTGATTTAGGAATAAATAATCCTCCGTCTACTAGAGTTAATTCTACCTGATCTGAACAAAAGTATTAGCTGGAGGACTTCACGTGCACTGCTTTTGACGGTGTGTATTATCAGCAAAGTTTACATAGTTTTAGGTAAATAACCACTTGGACATGGAACCTGCAGAGTGAGGTAGTCACAGAGCAGGAACAGGAAGTGTTTGAAAAAGTAGGCCGTCATAGTGGCTCTACAGACTGTTTTGCAGATACCGTTTAGCGCTGCCTACCGGAAGCACCGCGCAATGGTTTGTGGGACTGTTTGGGGGGTAAAAAATAAATAAATAAATAAATAAATAAGATAAAAGATGGGACAGGTTAAAAGTTTAAAGTCTGGATTGTTGCACATTTTAAAAAGTTTATTTTGGTTCATGAGATACCAGCTTCCAGTCAGGAAAAGGACAAACTGGTCCAGAACTTTTACCTTCTCAAATGTTGGAATTAGTGCCTGAAAAAGCAACCTGGATGTGCAAAATAGAGGTAAGCTTATGCTGCTGTGCAATATTTTTACTCTTAATATAATGTAGTAATTACGACAGTATGGCACTATATTAAATATATTGCCAGAGAAAATCCCAGTATACAGTGATCATATTAACAGCATTATGAGCAGTGGGGCTGGGTGATAAACATTTAATCTAAATATGATCTTGAGGCAGGCAGATTTATTAAACCATCACTGGACCTAAGAGGTTCCATGGCTTGTTTCAAGCTTTTACCCTGCAAATTGATAACCAGATCATTAGATGTCAAGAAAAAGTTAGAAACCTAGGTGTGCAGTTTGATCCTGAGCTTTCTTTTGACTTCCACTTAAAATTAGTAACTAGGACTGCTTTTTACCATCTCAGGAACATCTCCAAAATCCGGCACATTTTTTCTTCTGACAATGCTGAGGTTCTTATTCACGCTTTTGTAACCTCACGCATCGACTATTGCAAGTCTCTCTTTTCCGGACTACCCAAGAAAAGTTTTAGATGTCTGCAGATGGTCCAGAATGCAGCTGCCCGTATTTTAACTCATTCCAAGAAATTTGACCACATCACCTCTGTACTGTCATCCCTTCACTGGTTGCCCTGCCAGGTTCGAGCTGATTTTAAGGTGTTATTGCTCACCTATAAGGCTTTAAATGGTCTGGCGCCTTCGTTTCTTACAAACCTCTTACATCCTTATGTTCCATCACGCTCTCTCAGATCTGAAGGTATTAGCCTATTAATAATCCCAAAAGCCAGAAGAAAGACCATTGGTGAACGTGTCTTCTCTTTTCGTGCCCTTTTTCTGTGGAACTATCTTCCTCAGGACATCAGGCAGGCTTGTTCTCTAGAGGTTTTTAAACCTAAGCTAAAGACGCACCTGTTCAAATTCTTACTTGTCTTAATTTTATCCTTTGATTTTTTTATTATTGCCTTGCCCTTGCCAATATAAGGCCTTATTGCCTTGCCCTTGCCAATATAAGGCCTTATTGCCTTGCCCTTGCCAATATAAGGCCTTATTNGCCTTATTGCCTTGCCCTTGCCAATATAAGGCCTTATTGCCTTGCCCTTGCCAATATAAGGCCTTATTGCCTTGCCCTTGCCAATATAAGGCCTTGCCTTATTATTGCCGCCTGTGATTTTATATCTTGTGTTCTTATTTTGTTTTTTGTGATCCTATTTTTTACTTTTGTGACTTCACCTCGTCATCTGTGATTTTATCTCCTGTTCAGCGCTTTGTTTGAAAGCGCTTTACAAATAAAGTTATTACTACTACTACTTTCTGAGTATAAAACATCCTTCTTGGCCACACATCAAATTTGGCTGAAATATAAATTCAAAACACTTTTTTAATAGTGGTAAATGCATTTGCTATTGTGATCTGTAGCTTTCTGTATGGTGTTAATAAATAAATCGTACACAATTTTATGGTCAAGTTATTTAGATAGTCCATACCCATATTTGTAAAACTGAGTGGTCAAAATGATCTGTAGTCAGGAAATGTGATGTGGCCCAGATCGCTGTAAGCCACGTCAACATATTTAGCGCAAGATCTACTAGACCTAGTGGCGACAATCTTGTGTTTTCATTGTTCTATATAATTAAACTTATTTTCATGTATTTGTGATCATTGTTGCACATATACACAGTACATGACCCATTTTCAGTCATTTAATTCACACACCGGCACCGGATGCCCCCAAACTGGACCATGATGCTTTGCGCTAGGCAAAGACGGCGGTATCCGCAAAATAGTCCATGGTGACGACAGATGTGACAGATGTTTGACCCGCCAGCTTTAAGAATGAAAGATGTCTGTGCTCCACATCAGTGTGTAGTTTCCCTCCACACTAGCTTTATTTAGAAAAGCTCAGTCTGCCTCAGGATGCAGCCAGATCAGCTGCRGTTTTCAGATTTTCAGAGGCATGTTAGAAACAGACTCATCTTTGCCGCCATATTGTAGAACTGAAAGCAGCTAATGATGACTAGGAAGGCYAGCTCTGCTCAGGAGGAATTTGTCATTACAGAATAAATCTAATAATAATAAATAGTTTTATTATGTTTATGCACCCTGTTTTGTTTCAAATGAAGAAATGACCTAGAAAGACGAGGCAGCAGATGTTGTTTCAATAGATAATGAGTTAAACCATCTACCTGCCATCTGTGCTCAGCATCACTTTTATTTACAGAGCCCATCTCCATCTAACAGGGTCTGACTTTTATTTTGGGAACGTTCTGACAGGAAGCCGCTGAAGGTGTGCAGAAACATGAAATAAAATATAAAACATTTCATCTCCATGATGCCTTAGGCACATGACATCTGAGCTGAAGTGTTGCTTAATAAGTCAGATTATGAAGTGTGCAAATCTAATCTGGGCACTTACAGGTCAAAGACAAGATAATGGAATCCCTCCTCTGATATGCTGTCATGAAGTCGAACTGCAGAGAGAGGACAGAACAAAAATAAAGTTTAGCTACAGAAGAATAATGTAACTTTTTAAAAATTTACCCATAAATCATTTCATTTAAAATATTTTGTTTTATTACACAATAAATGAGAAATGTAATGTACTGAACAATTAAAGTAGCCATCTGTCTGTGGTGAGAAAATAAGAAAAACACAAGAAAGAGCAACAGAAACAGAAATCATAATTCATCCTTACCTTCATTTAACCAAATTAAAACTCAACCTGATCATTCACACCTCAATCAAAAACATCATAAAGATAAGCTGATTTCAGTCATTTGTACCAGCATAAATGTTTCCAATAGGGATGCACAGATTTGAAAATTTCAGCTGTTTAATATTATTGTTATGGCCGATAACCGATATTTACAGATATTACACAAACACAAATTATTTATAGACAGATAGACACACAAATACACTTGTCTTTGTTCGATACCATAAAAAACAACCAGACSACTYACGTGACTCTCTACTTCAGTTATTGCAGCATCACTATCATGAACAGATGCCGTTCAACCGTGTGATCTTAACATCCACACTTAGATGTTCCTAGATCCAAAGTCAAATCCAGAGGCGATCAGGCTTTTGCAATAGCTGCTCCAAAGCTGRGGAACAGTCTACCACTTTATATTCAATCTGCTGAAAATGATGAGGCTTTTAAATCTTTGTTGAAGATCAGTCTSTTGGGTCTTTTGATTGAGACAGTTTGAGGTTCAGTTAGAGCTGATGGATTTTTCTTAGCGTTTCTGTATTTTATTTGTATTTATTTGTTTTGTTTCTTTGATTTGATTCTTTGAACTGTAAAGCAATTTGGTCAGKTCTTGTTGTTTTCAATGTGCTATAGAAATAAATTTGACATTGACCAACCACTTCCCCTCCCAAAACAGAAACAAAAAGATAAGTGGAATCAATATCAGATGTTAATATTGGTCCAGTTTTAKTTTTCAGACCAATATTATATTCTAAAAAATTACCTATATCGTCCAATAGTGATGTCATTGCCGATATATCATGCATCACTAGTTTCCACCTGTTTTTCAGCACACTATTCCACAATGACTGGTATCAAATAATCTGAGTTCAGTGCTGCAGGAAATTTGATTTGTTCAAAAAAACTGAGCTTTTAAAGTTTGAAATAAAAAGATGGATATTTAGCTTCTCATTTCTAAATGACAGATCTGATCAGACCAGGAAACAGAGAGTGTTAGACTGTGGTGGTCCGAAAGCCACCTGCTCTAAGCCTGAACAGTTCAAACTATTTGTGCTTAAGAAAAAAAAATCTGTTTAAAGAACTAATGTAAAACTGATGGGATTTAAAAAGGTAAAAAAATGCATTTTATGTATAAAACAGGATCAGAGACAAGAGAGTTCTTAGAAAAGTGTTAAACATGAACCTACACTGCCTGGCCAAAAACAAAAGTTCACACATATTTCGTTGGATCACCTTCAGTTTTGATTACCATACACATTCATTGTAGCATTGTTTGGTTAATCTCCCTAGACCTGACCAACCCCACATCCTAACACTACCCC